TTCTTTCCATATTTTAATTAAAATAACTTCTGAAAAGTTCAAAGAATTTCTTGGAGAATACCATACAATAATAATAAGAAATAAAGTACTTATACTAATACCATGAAAATATATTTTTCAAGTAGGTATGCTTATAAGGGTGTTTTAGTTATTTCTAGTTATTATTATATTATTTTACATTTGTGGGCATGCTCACTACCTATTTTTGCATATTATCTGATTGGTTAGAAAATTAAAAGGGCAAGCCAGGAGCTGGTGGCTGACACCTGTAATCCTAGCTACTCAAGATGCTGAGATCTGAGGATCATGGTTCAAAACCTGTGAGACTCTTATCTGCAATAAACCACTAGAAAACTGGAAGTAGCGCTGTGGCTTAAGTGTTAGAGCACTTGTGCCTTGAGCTGACGATCAGAGGGACAGTAGCCAGGCCCAGAGTTCAAACCCCGTGACCGACAAAAAAAAAGAATATTAAAAGGTGCAGACATAGAATGTCCATATGAGTAGGCTTAGAATAATCATCAGGTTGAGAATATCAATCGTTGTTTGATTTTATTTTTTTTCTGGTTCAAGGGATTGAACTTGGGAATTTGGGCTTTTGTTTGAATGGTGCTCTACCATGGAAACCCTGTCTCCATCCAGAATTTTGTTATTTAATTAGAGATAAATCTCTCAAGGACATTTCTATTTCAGTGATTTTTGAACTGCAACACTCTGATTGCAGCTTCACCAGTACCTAGGGTAAAAAGTGTGAGCCACTAGTGCATGGCTCTCAGAGTTGTTTTTGAAATTGTTTTCGTAGCAGATGAAAACATAATGTTCCAGACTGTTTATCAGGAATGACTTCAATGCTGAAGAGAATGCGGAGCTCTTCATAAGCTACATATCCACATCAAGCCCAATATTGCCTTGCTGGTATACTTACTAGAGCTTTGAGTATGTTGATGGAGACAGATGTGAAGATAAAATCCATCTGGTTCTTGTCACCACTGTAGATAGATTTTATTCAAGATTTAGTTAGGTTTTTGTTTTAAGACACATTTGCTTAAAATACAGTGTTTAGGCATGTGAAGGTTTCAAATGTTGCCTATTTCACTCATCACTACGAATTCCTAGACTTGGAATCAATCTTCCTTTTTCAGAAATAAGGTGTTCAAAATGTAGCGAGAGGGGGCTGGGAAGGTGGTTCAGTGGTAGAGTGCTTGCCTTGCATGCTCGAGACCCTGGGTTCAATTCCTCAGCACAACATAAGCAAAAAAAAATAAGCCGGAAGTGGCACTGTGGCTCAAGTGGTAGAGTGCTAGCCTTGAGCTGAAGAGCTGAGGGACAGCGCCCAGGCCCAGAGTTCAGGCCCTACGATCGGACCCCAAAAAAAAAATGTAGCGAGAGAATTACAAATGTCATATCAGAGTTATGTGTGCGCTGTGATTTCTTTCCTGAGACAGGATCTGTAATGTTTGCTCATTTTATGTTTGGATGCTTAAACAAGCCAAAGATTTTCTAATTCTGTACGAGATACAATACATTTAGTTTCCCTACCTCCTCCCAATGTTTTGAAAGGCATTGTTGGCTTTTCAAAGGGGGCAGTAATGTTCATTAGAAAATAAGGGTAGGTTTTGTATTAAAGTGATATCTGCCTCCATCTGATTTGTTTTCAAGTCATTCTGTCCCCCAAAACTTCCTCACTTATTACATATGTTTAATACCTAAGATGTCTTAATCTTTGTTAAAATTTACCATAATGAAAATGGTATCTGACAGACATGGCAACTTTGCACACTCAGATTTATAAGGCTTGTTTATATATATAGCTGTCCTGGGATTTATATTTATAATATGTAACATTGTATATCAAGCAACTAAGAATGACTGAGGGCACAGAATCTCCTAATATTTTTGGCTTAATTCATTTAGTTTCCAAATGCTATTAATTAGTATTCTGACTAATTAATTAATTTAGTAGATCTAAACACAAGGCCAAATTTAGTACAAAGGTGTTTTTTTACAGTGAAGTCAGCTATTAGATTTTATTAATCAGCATTTCTCTTGAATTCCAAACAATCTTAGTTTAATTTTAATTAATTACTTAAGTAATATTTTTGATGCTTTGGACACTTGAACTCGTAATCACAAACTTTATAGACCATGATGACAATTTGCCTTGTGAAGGTTAAAATGTGTTTATGACTTTAACTGAGTATCACTATTCCATAATACTGTGAGAAATATGTGAAATTTATGTAATCACCTAATCTTAATTAAAAAAGAAAAGAAAAGAAAAATGAGAGAAGGGATGGGTTAGGAGTGATGGGTGACAATGTTGTCAGACACTGTACTCTTATACTGTTTTGTAGAATGGGAACTTCTTTGTACAACTACTTAAAGATAGTAAATTTTTTAAAAAGTAAGTAACATTTTTGATGCTTTGGGGACTTGAACTAGTTATCATGTATTTGCTTTCTAAGCAGGCATGCTGCTGCTGGAGCCACAGCTGTTTTCTTTTCTTTTTTTTAACATTTTTTTTCAGATTAGTTCTGACTCCTATTTTGTCTACTTATTCCATTCAGTACATGGTATCATTTTTTAAAAAGTGCCATCATTTTCAGCTTGTTTGCTGAGATAGAAATATTTCCAACCCATGGCTGGGAAAGTGGCTCAGTGGTAGAGTGCTTGCCTTGCATGCATGAGGCCCTGGGTTCAATTCCTCAGCACCACATAAGCAAAAAGAAAAAAAGTGGCACTGTGGCTCAAGTGGTAGAATGCTAGCCTTGAGCTCAAGAGCTGAGGGACAATGCCCAGGCCCAGAGTTCAGGCCCCATTACCAGATCCTCCCCACCCCCCCACACACAAAAAGAAGTATTTCCAACTCTGCCAGGCTGGTCTAAATCCAACCCCGCCTTGATCTCTACTTCTCATGTGGCTGGTAGTACAGCCATGCATATCTGTGGACAGATGTAAAAAGTAACATAAGATCTCAGAGTTTTCCATTCAGCTGTCATGATTAGAATTATAAGCACACATTCTATGAAGTCTGAATCCCTATAAGTGTTCTTATTTATCATAAGCAAAGGACGTGTGAGATGTGAACATAGTGTCCTCTTAGCCCTTAAATAATAGGGAATATACAGCTGGAACTCATTTTGCACTTTACAATTTTTTTCCTGCCAAGATCTCTAACCATTAAATTTATGATCAGACGGTGGACATGTTCAGTGCACTTCACAATCTATTATTACTTGTTTTCTAAACTTTTTAACTTCTTCCAAAACCTTTGAAGATGTTTTAAATAGTCAATTCTTTGTTAAGATTTGTTAAAATGTATAAACAAAAATGCCAGTTTTTCTCCTCTAAGTTAGAATTCACCTGGGTAGAGAGAGGGTAAGAGAGATAGAAACACAGAGAGACAGAAGGATAATATGGGCATCTAATTAATTCATCCATGCTGTGTTTTCTTCAAATTCAAATTCTTGAGAGTTGAGCCCCATTAGTCTAAATTGGTTTAGGTACCTACCACTATGCAGTGGAAGTTTATAGTGTGTTGATAATACATGGAGTAAGAGGGATAATTCCTAAGGGAATTTTTGCTGGAGAGAATTAAAAAAACACTGTAAGCATTACCTATCCTGATTAGGCTTATTATCATGAAAAATAAAAATCTATAAATTGTCTTAATATAAATGAGATTATATCCTCATTAATATTAAAGCCATAAACAATTTAAATTTTCTTTAAATTACTACCAACATGACCTTGGAATGTTTTGGGGAACAAATTTAATTTGTTCGCAATAATCACATGTGTAACTTTTTGAAAATGGATGTGTGCACTGCTTAAGTGGGGACCTGTTCTGAGAAAAGTTGTGTTAGATGTTTTCATCATTGTGTGGACATCCTAGAGCATTTACAAATCTAGCTGGTGTAGGCCGATCATTTGCTGTGGCCTTTTAATGCCATGAGAGAGGGATGAGGCTCATGCTAGAGTAGCATGGAGATGAGATCGTATTTTACAGTAATTTTTTTTTTTTGGTCCAGTCGTGGGGCCTGAACTCTGGGCCTGGGCGCTGTCCCTCAGCTCTTCAGCTCAAGGCGAGCGCTCTACCACTTGAGCCACAGTGCCACTTCCGGTTTTTTTCTTTTTTGCTTATGTGGTGCTGAGGAATTGAACCCAGGGCCTCATGCATGCAAGGCAAGCACTCTACCACTGAGCCACCTTCCCAGCCCTACAGTAATTTTTTAAACAAATAGGAATATACAGTAAAATAGGGGCAGGGCATTTGTTAGGAAATGGAAAGACTTGGAAAAAATTATATTAAGTGAAGTAAGCCAGGCCCAAAGAAGCATGGTTTCCCTTATTTGCAATAACTAGTATATGTCTGAGACAAGCAGAAAAGGTCAGATAAATTGATGTTAGGTGAAATGAACCCCAAGATAAGGATTCAACTGTTTTTTTTCTTTCTTGCAATTGTTTGTAACATATTTATAAGATGGTTTCTTTGTTGCTTTGTATGTCCCTCCCCCACGGTATAACCCCTGCTTTCATTGTATTTGATGTTGGTAAAATTTGTGGAGGGGAAGGGCAAAAACAAATTGTTTAAATAGGGATACAGGTGGACCCATTGCAACAATGAGATGTACAAGACGTTATGTCAAAAAACAAACTTTACAAATTTGGGAGGGGGGGAGATGGAAAGGGATGGAAAGGGGAAACAAAGGAGGAGGCAACAATGTTCAATAAGAAATGTACTCATTACCTTGCTTATGTAATTGTAACCCCTCTGTACAGTATTTTCACAATTAAAAATTAAAAAATAAAATAAATAGGGGCAGGAATAGGTACAGTGCTTTTTGATCATGTGCAACACCCTGGATTTGATTCTTCCCCTCCAATTAAAAAAATTAAAATGGTAGACGATACAGTATAGTGTATAATAAACTAACAACATAGGCACTTATAACCATTACAATTGTATATTGTATAAGATAGTATGTGTTGTTTTTACACAGGTGAGAGTGAAGTTGGTTTATTTATAGAAACAGCACCACAAACAGGTAAGCAACACTTCCTACATGAAAGTGGCTTATTAGAGAATATATGACAATTTTACTGTAAAACTCCTTGTTTGGGTTTTTTTTTAACTGTATTTTTTTGTCTTTTCTTTTTTGGTACTGGGGATCGAACCCAGGACGTTGCGCTTGCTAGGCAAGCGCTTTGCCACTGAGCTACATCCCAGCCCAATTTTACTGTAAAACTCCTTGTATCATCAGTATATACTAATAAATATGACTTATATAAAGTCAAGTTATGAAAATAAATGGCAATAAAATGATTACTGCATTACTAGGAAACAGCAACCTTTCAGCAGTATTGTAATCTATGAGCCCAGTGATTGGCAAGTCAGCTGTTGTCCAGTGCATAATTGTATAGAATTTTTTATTTTGTTTGATATTTCTTTTGTTTGGTTCTTACTGGATTTCCCAAGCTGGTCTTGAACTTTGGGGTTTAAAAACTATTTTTATCTACACCTCCTAGAGGAACTTGGACTACAGACAATTGCCATTTTACCTGGCTTTTACAAAAATTTGAAAAGAAAATCTATTATATGGTTTAGGACACAGATTTTTTTCCCAAGATTTTTAAGCATTTTAAAATGTGAAAAATATAGGTCATAGCAATCATTATGTATTATTTTTTCTCTGTTTCTAGAAATGTCATGAGCTTAAGGTTTTTGTTGAATTATGACAGGTCCACATACTTTATATCTTCCTGTTACAAGGCTTTTGTGCATTTATCCATCATTAGGTTACAAGTCCCTACATTACAGCCAATTCAAGTCCCCTTTGAAGGTAGGGAGTTATAGAGTAAACATAATTATTTCATTAGGTGGATGGGTGAAATGGTTCAATATAGACACAGTTGAAATAGCATGGAGACAGGATATAAGACATTGAACCTGGATTAATATTCTTGCATCTCTAGGTTGATTCTTCACAATGTACGCAGTCATTTCTCTTGAATCCTGTGAGTTGAATAAATGTTACTAACTTCTTAATCTTAAGGAAGTATATGTATTGGAGAATACATAGACACTTAATAGCATCAGCAAGGTGTTTTCCAAGGCCACAACACAGAATCGTGTAGTCAGTAGTAGCTCCATTCTTGGGTGGAAGAGGAAATAAATGTGGTTTGGACAACACATTTGACCCTCAGTGGTCTTATACATGCCTTATACACGAAGCATCTTATTGTGATGGGTTATTTTAGGTGCCAGTTGGAGTGGGTTAACCTAGAAAGCTAGAATTACATTATTTCTGAGTCCGTTTGTAAGGATGTTCCCATAGGTGATTAGCATTTGAATTTATGGTTGAAATAGAAACAATCTGCCCTCAGTATGAGGTGGGTAAGTGTGGCACCTAATCAACTGAGGACTCAGAATCAAAAGGCAGAGGGAATACATGCCTTCTTTTCCACATCCCACTCCTCTTCTTCCCCTCTCTTTATCTCTTTTTTTAAATATATATTTTCTATTGTAAAGATCCTGTTCAGAGAGATTATAGTTACATGAGTAAGGTAATGAGTCAATTTCCTATTGAGCTGTTACCCCCTCCTTTGTTTTTTCCCTACTATCCCTTCACTCCCCACCTCCCCAACTCCTCCCTCCCCCACATTAAAGTTGTAAAGTTCGTTTTCAACATAGTGTCTTGTACCTCTCATTGTTACAATGGGTCAACCTGTATCCTTATTTCAACATTTTGCTATTTCCCTTTCCCTCCCCAAATTAGAAAAATGTGTATACAAGATGCAGGGCACCGACATCAAATACAATGAAAACAACAGTTATACCATGGTGGTAGAACATACAAAAGAAACAAAAAAAATCACACAGTACATTATAAGTACATTAAAAACAACAGCAAGAAAGATAAAAACCTCTTGTGTCCCTACTTTGGGGTTCATTTTGCTTAGCACCATCTTATATGATCATATGTACATAGCTTTTAGCTTTTCTACTTGTCCTAGACATATACTAGTTATTGCAAATAAGGGAAACTATGGGACCTATGTTTCTTTGGGCCTGGCTTACTTCATTTAATATAATTTTTTCCAAGCCTTTCCATTTCCTAACAAATGGGGCAATGTGTCATTCTTTCTGATGGAGGCATAGAATTCCATTGTGTATATATATAACATTTTCTTGATCCATTGAAGGGGCATCTGGGTTGGTTCCAAATCTTAGCTATGGTGAATAATGCTTCAATAAGCATAGTTAGGCTGGTAGCTTTAGTATGGCCTTGTTTGTGATCATTTGGGTAAATGCCCCAAAGTGGAATTTCTGGGTCATAGGGGAGCTCTATGTGGAGTCTTTTGAGGAATCTCCATACTGCTTTTCAAAGTGGCTGAACAAGTTTACACTCCCACCAACAATGCAGTAGGCTTCCCTTTTGGCTTCCTCTAGCATCTGTTGTTATTAGAGTTCTTGATTATAGACATTCTAACTGGGGTTAGGTGTAATCTCAATGTTGTTTTGATTTGCATTTCTTTTATGGCTACAGAAGTTGAACATTTTTTCATGTGTCTACTGGCCAGTCTTATTTCCTCTACAGAGAAGATTCTTTTTAAGTCTTTAGCCCACTTATTAATTGGGCGATTGTTTCTTTGAGGATTTGTTGTTGAGGGATTTAATTTTTTGAGTTCTAAGTATATTTTAGATATGAGACCCTTGTCTGTTATATGGCTAGTGAAGATCTTCTTCCAATTGGTGAGCTTTCTATTGATCTTGCTTGCTATATCCTTTGCCATGCAGAAGCTCTGCAGTTTCATGCAATCCCATTTGTCCAACCTTTCTTAGGTTTGTTGTGTTTCTGAGACTTTATGAAGAAAATTTTGTCTTGTGCCAAGGAGCCCTAGAGTTTCTTTTTGTAATGTTTTCAGAGTATCTGCTTTGACTTTGAGGTCTTTGATCCATTTGGATTGATTCTGGTACAGGGTGATAGATAAGAATCTAGCTTTAGTTTTCTAAGATGTTAAGCCAGTTTTGCCAGCACCATTTACTGAAGAGGCTGTCTTTCTTCCATTCTAATTTTTTGGCTCCCTTATCAAATATTAGGTGGCTATATGTCTATGGGTTCATTTCTGGGTCTTCAGTTCTATTCCATTGGTCCTGAAGTCTGTTCTTGTGCCAGTACCAAGCTGTTTTGATTACTATGGGTTTATTGATAGTCCTCCAGCACTGTTCTTTTTACTAAGGATTGTTTTTGCTATTCTGGGTATTTTATTGTTCCATATGAATTCTTGGATTGCCTCTTCTATTTCCTTGAAGAATGAGGTTGGGATATTCATAGGTATCACATTGAATTTGTACTTAGCCTTTGGCAGTATTGCCTTTTGTATGATGTTAATCCTTCCAGGAGCATGGAAAGTTTTTCCACTTCCTTAGTTCTGCTTTAATTTCCTTTTTCAGGTTTTTAAAAGTTTTCATCATAGAGGTTCTTCACTTCTTTTGTTAATTCCTAGGTATTTTATTATTTGTGGGGCTATTACAAAAAGAATTGCTTTCCTGATTTCAGCCGCGCTTTTCTCATTGCTGGCATTCAGAAAAGCCATTGATTTTTGAGGTTTAATTTTATACTGTGCTACTTTTCCAGAGTTTCAGATCAGCTCGAGTAACTTGGGTGTGGACTCCATGAAGTTCTTTAAATACAAGAGCATGTTGTCTGCAAAGAGGGAGAGTTTTACTTCATCTTTTCCCATTTGGATCCCTTTTGTTTGCATCTTGTCTTATTGCTCTAGCTAGGCATTCTAATACTAGATTAAAGAGAATGGAGAGTGGACATCCTTGTCTTGTTCCTGAATTTAGAGGAAATGGTTTTAGCTTTACCATTAAGTATAATGCTGGCTGTAGGTTTGTCATATACAGCCTTTATTGTATTGAGGAATGTTCCATGTATTCCTAGTTTTTCCAGAACCTTCATCATAAAGGGTGTTGGATCTTGTCAAATGCTTTTTCTGCATCTATTGAGATAATCATAAGGTTCTTATCCTTTTTCTTGATGTGATGAATTATATTAATCTTTTTGCATATATTGAACTAGCTTTGCATCCCTGAAATGAATCCTGTTTGATCATGGTGTATGATTTATTTTCATTACTTGCTCAAGTTGATTGGCCAAAATTTTGAGAAGTTTTGCATTGATGTTCATCAAAGAAATGGTTCTATAGTTCTCTTTCTTTGATGAGTCCTTACCTGGTTTGGGGATGAGGGTTATGATGGCTTCATAGAAAGAGTTTGGTAGTGAACTTTCATGTTCATTGAAAAGTTGGAGGAGTATTCATATGTGTTCTGCTTTGAAGGCCTTGTAGAATTCAGCTGTAAATCCATCTGGTCCTAGGCTTTTCTTGGATGGGAGGTCTCGTATTGTTGTTTCTATTTTGATGCTTGATATGGGCTTGTTAAGTTGGATTAAATCATCTTGGTTTAGTGTGGGGATGTTAATATTTGCTAGAAATTCGTCCATTTCTTACCAGATTCCCAAACTTAGTACTTAAACGTTTGAGAAGTATTCCTTTATAATGTCCTGAATCTTGTTTTTTTCTGTGGTGATGTTTCCATTCTCTTCTCTGAGTTTGTTTATTTGGGGGGTTCTCTTCTTTTTCTGAGAAGATTTGCTAAGGGTCTGTTAATTTTGTTGATTTTTTTTGAAGAAGCAACTCTGTTTTGTTGGTTCTTTTTCTTGGACTGTAAATCATTTAATTATGATTTACTTTTAATTATTTCTTTCCATCTACTGAATTGGGGTTTTGCTTGTTGCTCTTTTTCAAGGAGTTTTAAGTGCCTCATTAAATTGTTTGTTTCAGATCTCTCCAATTCGTTGATGTAGGAACTCAGAAATATAAACTGGCCTCTGAGTATTGCCTTTGTTATGTCACAGAGGAGCTGGTAAATTGTATGTTCATTGTTGTTAATATAATGAACATTGAGTTTCCTTTCTAGTCTCTACCATGACCCACTGGTGGTTTAACAGTATGTCGTTCAGCCTCCATGTGTTACAAGATTTTCTTTGGTGGCTTTTGGTGATGAATTCTAATTTTATTGCTTTGTGGTCTGAGAGAATGAAGGGCATAATTTCAATGTTTCTGAATTTGGACAAATTTGCTTTGTGATCTAAAATGTAGTCCATTTTGGAGAATTTTCGTGTGCTGCTGAGAAGAACATGTGTTCTGATGGTGCTGGGTGAAATATTCCGTAGATGTCTATTAAGTCTAGTTGATCTATGCAGTTGTTTAGATATGTAGTTTCTCTGTTGAATTTTTGCCTGGTTGATGTATCCAGTGGGGATAGTGGTGTGTTAATGTCCCCAACAATTAATGTCTTTAGATCTATGTGAGATTTTAAGGAAAGTTGTGTTTCTTGGATAAATTTGGGTGCTCATAAAGAGCACTCTCTTCTTATCTGTCTTGTTTCTCTTTTGGAACTGGGACATCCCTTTTCTCCTGAGCTTGAACTTCTGAAAATATCCCTAGACTTCTGGGACTTGCACTAGCAATGACTTAGGTTTTCAGGCCTCTGAGTTACCCACTGAAGTTCCTGTTTTCTTTTACTGAACTGTGCTACTAGCTTTCTTGGATCTCCAGTGTACATGGGACTGTTTATCTTCCATAACTATGTGATCTGATTTCTCCAATATATCTTCTCCCACATATCTGCGTTCAGGTTTATATATCTCTTGTGCCATTCTTTATCTTACCTATCCCTCTATTATCATATATCTATGAATTGTGGGAATTTAAATACTTTTTAAAAGATTAATTAAGCAATGAATGAATTCCTCTATAATGTCTCCCCAAATCTTGTCTCTAGGTAATGGCAAGAGGGAATGTCATTAATACTAATGTCCATACTTTGGTATAATTTTGCCATTTAGAGTTTGTAAGTAAGTGACTGTAGAGATAATGTTATGCAGCTCCCCTGTGTCCATCTTTCTCTGACACATGAGAATTATGCTCCTGCTAAGTTGGCCTCATGCCCAGATTCAACGGACTGTACGACATCGATTTTAGCAGGGCAAGATGCCAACCAAAGACCATTTGGGAAGAATTTCCCACAGTAGGCAGAAAGTGACACCTCATATGCAAGCTTATGCTGCTCTCAGTGGTGAGTGATGCTAAATGGGCTCCATTTGAGACTGCTCTGTGGGAGATTGCACCTGGGCATTCGGGAACATGACATCAACAGCCAGAACTGCTTGTTGTGCAAATCCCAGCGGAGACTAACCTAGAAAATCCACCCTTGCAGCAAGAAACCAGTTTGCAGCCCCTCATTATATGCTGCTTCCTTGAAGGATTTTTCTCTTTGGCATTTGCTGATTTCAAAGCTACCTAAAGTTCAACAACTAGCAATACTTGTGTTATTTTATTGTGTTATTTTTGGTTTTCCAGCAAAGGTGAATATACAGTCAAAATATTTAAAAAATGATACCTAAGAGATGACAGTAATGGAATGGAAATATCTTTTTTTTCTTTCTTTTTTAAAATAAGTTTTTTTATTGTGAAAATACTATACAGAAGGGTTACAATTACATGAGCAAGGTAATGAGCGAGCATTGTTGCCTCCTCCTTTGTTTTTCCCCTACCATCCCTTCACTCCCATCTCCACAACTACACCCTCCGGGCCCCCCCCACCTAAATTGTAAAGTTCGTTTTTCGACATAGCATTTTGTACATCTCCTTGTTGCAATGGGTCAACCTGTATCCCTATTTAAACAATTTGTTTTTTTCCCTTCCTCTCCTCAAATTATACCAACATCAAATACAGTGAAAACGGGTTATACTGTGGGGGAGGGACATACAAAGCAACAAAAAAAATCATTTGGTACCTTATAAATACATTAGAAACAATAGGAAAAAAGAAAAAAAAATCACTTGTGTCCTTATCTTGGAGTTCATTTCACTTATTATCTTATCTGATCTTTTCTGCTTGTCTCAGACATTATTATTACTATTGCAAATTCCCTTATTATTGCAAATAAGGGAAACCATGGGACCTATGTTTCTTTGGGCCTGGCTTACTTCACTTAATATAATTTTTTCCAAGCCTTTCCATTTCCTAACAAATGAGGCAATGTCATTCTTTCTGATGGAGGCATAGAATTCCATTGTGTATATATACCACATTTTCTTGATCCTGGAATGGAAATATCTTAATCAACCAATAATTTCCTCACCAGATAATCAAACTATGGAGAAAACTGCTTGTAACACAATAAGAATTTTGTAGAAAATGCTGAAGGCTGGATTTGAGCAGGTATAAATGTGAGAATCCTGACCAAATAGGTCTTATGTAGTACCTTAGGACCTGTCACAGTGATCTCTAGTGGCTACCCTGATGACCTTTCTGATCTAACTCACATATTGATTCTTTTAGAAAGAATAATACCTGGCTTTTCCAAGATAAAGTATTTGCTTTCTGTTGTTGTGGTTATTGTTGATTATTTTGTTGAACTTTGCTGATTTTCATGAACTTATTTGTTTCCTCAATGAAAGTTCCTTGAAGACAATCCTGTCTTGCTTTCCTGATATGTCCCTAGAGCTGAGCACACTGTCTACAACAGAATATGGACAAAATATGGGGGGTGAGTTGAAATGGGCAATGAACCAGAGTTCATTACAGCAGATGAAAGGGGAAACAAAACAATGTTTTATCCCATTGCTCATACACCATGAAGCATTACATCTCTGATGCCAGATATTTAGGATTATTTGTTTACATTCAAGCAAGTGGTAAGAGGCAGTGGTATGAGGCAGATCACTAGGGGGAAGAGCTCACTGCCACAAGAACGCCCCTGCTCCCGATGCCAGTCATAGCTCTCTGGTTATGCTCTTTGCTTCTAACCAAGTAGCTATGAATTGAGAATTCTCAGGATATCCTACCAGGTTGTATTCATTTCTGTGAGTATCTCATAGAACTCAGAGAAACACTTTGCTTATATTAATGTTTTATTATTCAAAGAAATAATATAGAGCCCACAGGTACAGCCAGATGAAGCAATTCAGAGGGTGAAGTCAGGCACTAATTTTGAGCATATTGTAGTGAATGAACAAGATATAGAAATTCTTTGCTCTCATGGAAATTCTATCTTCATAAAGTGGAAGAGACATAGAGTTGAACAAATAAAATGAAAGAAATAAGTAAATAAATGGTCAGAGCTATCTACAGAAATGGCATGATGCGATGTGACAGGGTGTGTGGACAGACTGTCTGGAGAGTGGTCAAGTGGAAAGTTGGATACGATTAGTGGAGCTACACAACAGCAGTGAGGAGGGAAAGTCTGAGTGAGGATGGATGACCCACATTGGTGACAGTGCTGATACTGTGATGGGTCAGTCAGCCCTTGGAGAATTGCATAGTCTGTTTATTCTGGAAGGTGATCAACAAGGTATACAGGGCAGAGGGAATAAGGAAAAAATAACCTTACGAATGGGAACACAAGCCTTGAATGGAACTGAAGGCCATCTCTGCCAGTGGATAAAGGGGAAGTCCCTTTATCCACTGGTAGGAAGCCAGGTTGAGACTTTGCTCTACAAGGTGCAAAGTTATCTGGGTTACAATACCAAGTATAGATGCAGATTCTCACAGGCAATGAGGTGGCAAAATAGAGAGCCTCTGCTTTTCAGGAGAATGAGCTCCCCTGACACACTCTGTCATCATCCATGACTTTATCCCTTAGGGAGGATGCATGAGCCAAGAGATGCAAGATTTTTCCACTCCACATATACACCTGCTCTTAAAGCTGCTAAGAAAATTTCCTAGCTCCTAGGGTGGAGCAGAAAGCAAAAGATGCTGTCAGTGTTTTAAAAAAATATTATCTCTGGCTCATATTTCTTGCATATTTATTTCTCAGTGTCATTTCCTTAGAGAGTCTAATTGTTATCATCCCATCTACAATATTCATTTCAGCCCATTCTTTATTCTTTCTTTATTACTTAATTTTACATTTTGAAGGGGAGAGCTTGATTGAAAATTTTACATGAATTTCTACATGAGTTGAAGGGTTACTTCACTAATCTTCAATTTTCCCCTAATACATGAATTTAAGATTATGAATTTCTATCAAGTATGATATCAACTGTATCCCATTATTTCCATTTGTTCTTATGAGTTTATTTTTGGCAATACTGGGGTTTGACCTCAGGACCTCAAATTTATTAGACAGGTGCTCCTGTCTCCAAAGAATATAAGATCTGTGTACAAATCTTAGTCTGTGCTGACAGAAATCAAAAACCTAGAAAATAGCGGTGTAGCTCAAGTGGTAGAACACTGGGCATAAGTGAAAAAGCAAATGAAAATGCAAGGCCATAAGATCAAGCCTCAACACTAGCACACACAGACAGACACACAATTGAGTTCTATCCATGGATCCAGTGAGATAGTGCCAGGTGAGCAAGTGAAAAGCTATGAGATAGAACCCTCAGTAGCATCCCTCCCTCAAACTAAATTGCAATTTAAGCCTGTCTTTGTACGCAGAGGGAAACGAGCTGAGAGTGGATTAGTCAGCCTTATGTGAGTCAGGGTTGGTGTGACTCCACTGGGCCTTCCAGGATATTCCAGGTCATCTCTATGTTCCAAAATCTGTAGTCATAATTATATAAGTAAACTCTCTTTCTTTTTCATTGGGTGTAACTTGTCTCATCATCTAGCCTCTGCTCCCCAGCAAAAGACCTCGGGGGAAAGCTTGACAAGATGAATGTACTAAGTGGAAGCTTTCTCAACAGCTCATTGGATTGGAGTAAATGACACAGCTAGTCTAACAGTGTCTGGATGAGGGCAAAGATGGTAACAATAAGAATAACATTAGCTGCGATTAAAGAATTGAAGCGAAATGGTCCAATTGATTGGCAGATATGTGGGAGGTGGGTCATCTGACATGTAGTGATTGAAAAGTGACAAATAATTAGCCATTGAATATATTCTACATCATTACTATCTCTTACCCTATCTGAAAGATTATATGCGGCAAGACCATATATGGATGTATGCTCACACACACACACACACACACACACACACACATCTATATGTGTGATGCTAAAAGCACTCTGAGCAATATGATTTAGCTACCCAAACAGAGAGTAGTAAAAGTACAGATGATGTAAAAAGGCTTTTTATGCCTAAATTATGTCCTTTTGACTAGGGAATGAAATAGGCAATTGTAAGCTATATGCTTACCTTCTGCCATGGGTTTTATGTAGAATAAAAGTGTGTATTCTTTTAGAATGAGGCAGTTTGTGACTGAGGAATTTCTTATTAGCCTAAACAACTATTTTACAGGATAATATATATATATATATATGTTTATATATGAATAATCAAAAAATGCAATTTTCATTTTTATTGCACAGATGGTAGAAATGAAATATGTCATCCCAAGACATGACCTGAGTCTGTACAGGAAATTTATTTTCACCAATTTGTCCCTGGCAGAACTAGAAAGAAAAATACAAAGGACAAGTGATGTGCCCAGACAAAAAGGCCATGTTTCTGGTTCATGTTTTGAATTTTGCAAAGTATCTGGTGTGACCTTATTCGGTGATTGCATGATGGGAAATTCTTCTCTCAATATGGACATTCTTCTGGACATTTCAGGGCACTGAAGTTTATGTTGTAGAAGGAATAGAATAAAGTATTTTGAGATAGGGAAGAGATGGCACAAAAACACAATAAACATTTGGGAGAAAATGCATTCGCCAGTGTTTATAACTAAACAGGAAGATGTGCTTTTAAGATTTTTGGTGGATTCCCTATTTTACTTACTCTGCCTATTTCTTTTTCTCATCAGGAACTGACTATTTTTATGCTATAATACTTAAAGGTAACATGACTTTCTACTGAGATGTAAAGGACAGATTTCAGGGTTCCAAAAATGATAGCATACAACGATCTTGCCGGCATTTATAACCAGAATTGCTTATTTAGTGGTTAAGCCAGTGGGAGGAAAGTAAGAGCACCAAGAAAAGAGGCTGTTTGGGTGTGACAGTGAGAAGTTTCATAAACAACAGTGGAGGGAAGGATTGATTGCCAAAGGCTGACAGTAATGTGGACCTGAACTTGGCACTCAGGTGAGTATCAGGACATGTACCTCCCAGTTCCCGGCTCCCTGTCCTTCCCATCCATGCACATATGCTGCCTGTATTTGTGTGAGTCCTTCCTATGAGCTTGTACTAAAATTCTAGGTGGAATGGTGGGCTTTGAGGGAGCACTGAAATAATCAAAACAAATAAGAAAACCAGGTAGATCCTATCTGAAAATGACTCCTAAAGCAATCAGTGTGGGATAAGGGGGAGGGATGGAAGAAAAAGAAAATTTTCAAACATTTTCCTTCTTCTGAAAGCATCAAAATCAAGGAACAGGGAGGCTTTGGGGGAGCAGGGAGAAGTCTTACCTATTAAACATGAGTGGAGTAAATGTCTTTAGAAGCATAGGAACATTATTTTCATATTTTCTAGAAATGTGTCAAGAACTATGAGTATCTCTGTAAGCAAAACTTCACCCAAAATAGGTCACATGAGTGAAGGAAATGTTATTAAGAAGCTGACCTGCCTATTGACATTTATTTAACTATCACAGAAGAAAATGTACATTGGCAAGAGATTCTCTGGAAGAAAAATGTGCCTGATTTCTATCCATAAGAAAAGGAGACCGATTCAAAGCCAAGGAGTATTCTTGGATTGATCTTTCATAATGCCTTAATTTAGCTAGCTGGAGAAATGCTCGTTGTGAGCATAAAATTATTCAAGACTTCAAAAGAAATGTTTTTTTCTTTAATTATGGCTTTAAATCTGGAATTAACTGTAATGTTGTCTTTATATGAGTTTTCTAAAATAACATCTCTTTCTTAGTGAATTTATTTATGAAGGTACTGATTGTATAGAGGGGAAGTGAACTAGTTTCTATGTGCTTAGCAAATAGACCATAACAAGGACTAGAGGAATTTTTACCAAAATTATGAGTTATAATTCCCTAGGTATAAATCATCATGGCCATGCCTCAAAACCTGAATGTTGAATAAAATAGCAAGTGGCAGAAAGATATGTATAGTATCTTATTTCTGGATGTCTATATAAGTATGAAAAATCTGAAAAACATGTATTATGCTACTGCTTGCCTTGTAGAGGGTGGTGCCTGTGAGGCAGGGAATAAAGAGAATTAAGAAATGAGGTTGTGAGTTGTTGAGGAAAACTTCAGATCTTGTCTTATTTTCCCTTTTATTTCCTCTCTCCTTCTCTTTCTTCCTTTCTTAACGAATGCAAACATAAGTTGCTTGTAAGATTGTGCTTGAATTTACATATATTTAGGGGAAAGATAATTAAGTGAAACTATATATGTATGTGTGTATTGCATACATAACTGTGTCTATATCTATATATCTATATCTCTCTGTCTTTTAATGTTCACTGTATTTGAGGTTGGTATTGTGACAACCATTGATCGCTTATAAATCTACTAGGTATTCCTTGCAAGAGCATAAGTAAGATCAGAAGGAGAAAAAGCAAATCTATAGTTGATTGACGAGGGCAAGAGTAAGAATATGGAAACAGTTGGGAAGA